TTCACCCTTTCCTCCAAAAACAGCAACTGCAATTCAACAAACACATTAGGCCGGGATGAGGTACAGCCAAACACAAGCGAGCTACGATTTAATGGGCACGGGCATAGGCCAACCCCCCCCCCCCCCCCCCGGCGGTCGCCATCAAAGAGGGTCGTGTCCAATGTATAGCGACACTTCACTAAATCAAAATAACCAAAGACAAATGGGGAAGGGGAAGAATTGTGTGGGGTATGTAATTTCTATGCAACCATTATTGGCACTGCGAATGGGACTTTGACGATGCAACAACACTTGGAGAAGAAGCACCCCCAAATAATGCAGTTGTTTGGTACATCTTCAATCGGATTAGGTAGGCAAATTCAAACTTAACTTAATTTTAATCCACAGTCATCAACTCTTTCAACGTGGCAATACAATGCACATGTTGCATGAGAGGAAATAGCAAGATTTGTAGTTGCTACGGACTCTCCCATTTGTTTATCTGAAAATCCTTATTTTATTCACATGATTAAAATTATATTTTGTCCAGCATATACCCTTGTTAATAGAAGTACAAGTAGAAGAGATATACTAAAACTTTATAAAAAAATAAATAATAAACTTAAAATCGAATTTCAAAATTTTAGGAATATATATGGGCTTATAGATAAAAAACAAATTTGTAACTGTCACAATACATTTCTTATATCATAATTGGGGTTTACAACAAAAATTGATGGGTTTTAAACCATTATATGAAAAACATAGTGTTGACACTATTTATTTTACAATTCGTGAAGTTTTGCAAGAATTTCTATTAACTAATAGAGTTGTAGTGCTAACGCTTGATAATGTAGCTGCTAACATTGCGGCAATCTTTTTATTTAAAAAGGGATTGGATTCGCATGGTGAAGGCAAATTTTTTCACCAAAGATGTGCTTGCTACATCATCAATTTGATTGTTAAAGCAGGTTTAGATGCTATACATTCGAAGATGGAGAGGGTGCGCGTGGCTATCGAATTTATTGTCGACGGTAGCAATAAAAGATGGCAAGAGTATGTTAAATATTGTACGCAAAAGGACCCACCGATTCGATCTTTGAAGTTATGCACGAACATGTCTATCCATTGAAATTCCACCTACTTGATGTTGAAAAAAGTTTTGTCAACCGCAAGACAAATTACAGATTTTGTTAACCGGAAGAACTATCTAGAGGAAGTTGTCAGCTATGATGATTAGGCGTTTTGTGAACTTTTTTATTCATTTCTTAAATTTTTTTATGATTCTACTAACACATTAAGTGGTATTTATTATCTGACTACTAATTTAGCGTTACATATTTTACTTCAAATTTCTAAAACTTTTGCTAAATATAGATATAATGACGTTTTAATGGAAATTGTTTCAAAAATGAAAGAAAAATACGAGAAATATTGGTTAGATATTCCATTCTTATATAGATTAGGCCTTGTTGTAGATCCTATATTTAAATTACACGTAGTTAACTGTATAATTACTAAGATAAGCTAGCATTTAGGACATGATTATATGTCTTATTTGACTGATTTTAAGCAAAAATTGGAAAACTTTTTTCCTTTAAATCAGAACAGGTACAATGGAAGTGGAACTAGAACGTTCAGGAGAGACGATCAGGACCCTGATGCAGACGTCCATCAAGGATTGAGCAAGTAGATGTATATGGAATATGGCGGAAGTAGCAGCTCCAACTCATACATACATGGACCAAATGAGCTAAATCGCTACCTACAAGTGGATCTATCCTACATGACAATGAAGGAGAAACATGAGATGGATATTCTTTAATGGTGGAACCAACATGAAAGTCGATTCTCCATTCTAGCCCAAATGGCACGTGACATTTTATCTGTGCTGGTTTCTACAATTGCATCCAAGTCAGCATTTTCAATGAGTGGTCGGATTGTTGAAGACAGAAGATGCTCTTTAACAGATAAGATGATTGAAGTGATAACGTGTTTACGGGATTGGACTCATGTAGAAAGAAGACTACAACAGCACCCTGAAGATCCCGAACTGCTTGAACTCTTTAGGAATATAAATTTTAATGATTTAAATATTGTTGACGAAGAAGATGAATAATTTAATTTAAAAAAATTATTTAATTGTTTATTTGTGAAGTGTGAATATGTGAATATTACATTTATGTTAAAATTAACTATTAATTAAACTTTTAAAAACTTACTAATCTACCCCTAAAAATTACTAAAACCCCCTACAGAATTTCATTTCACCCCTAAAATATAAAAAAAGATAAGGGGGGAAAAGAAATTTTGTAGGCCCAAAAAGAAATTTTGCAGGCCTATAGAACTGGTCTGGGTCCTAAAATTGCTCATAGGCCGGGGACCGGTCCTAGGCCCATGAGCGACTGGTCCCAAATGGGACCAATCCCAAAAGGACCAGTCCCAAAAGGGCATAGGCCCAGGCCCGCTTGGGACCGGTCCTTGACTAGATCTAACTAAATACACCCATTTTATATTTAAAAATCTCTTTTAAACCTCTTTTAATACCTAAAATACCCTTCAAACCTTGATTAGAATTTTCCCTTACACCCCTTTCTCCAATTTCAATTTTAGAATCAAAATACCAGTTTAACAGGTGTGAAAACTGGAAAAATGGAAGTATTTTTGCATCAAACAAACAATTTCAATGATAATGATAATTTAGATTTAGATTTAGATTTAGGATTTAGGATTTATGCAAAAAATAAAGGTTTAATATTATAAAATAAAGTGTGGGCGTACTTAAAATTTATAATATCATTTCTCGTAATTGTCCTTAAGGTTAAACTTGTCAACACAACAAACTTTTAAAAGTCGGGGATACGGATCAAATAAGTGGGGCCTAAAAAATCACTTCCCAAAGTCTTTTGATTGTTTTTTTAATTTTTAGATAAATTTTTTGAATAGAAAAAATTTAATTCCATAACTCATATCTGGACACTAAAAATTTTAAAGAAACAAATAATTAAATTACCTAATATACCTTTATTCATAATAAATATAAATTTATATAAAACTACTAAACAAGCTCTAGAGTTTATTTGTTTAAAGAACTTTTAAATATATAGAATAGTACAGTGGTGGAAATGCAACCAGCTGCCGGAAACTGGTGATTGGAAAACTTTCGGCATGTCGAAGAATTAATACGTAAGAGCACAAGAAACAGTAAAACGCCAGCACCAAAAGAGTGGTTAAAGCAGCTCAAAAAAAATAGTGAAACAGTACCCCAAAACAGTAAAACAGCAGCCTCAAAATAGTGAAATTTTTGCCCAAACGATGAGCCTAGAAACAATAGAACAGCAGCCCAAAAAACAAACGAAACAATAAGCCATGTATCAGCTTAAAAAACAGTGAAAAAGTGGGCTTAAAACTGTGAAAACAGAAATCCAAAACAGTAAAATATGTGCAGGAAGTGATTTTTAGAACCCATATTTTTTTTTACTTCGGCTCCCATCTTCTATGCTAGATAGGGGTATAAAGTATTTAGAAAAAAAAAAATATTAACAAATGTTTTTATATATATTCAAAAAAATTAGAAAAATTTATAAATATGATCATTATTTTGCTCTAGATTTGAAATCTTTTAATATCTTCTATTTCTAAAGTTGCCAGCTTTAAAAACACTCCAAAAATTAACATAAATACCTTGTTTGATTCAAATCTAGTAATTTCTTAGTTATATGATCAAATTTTTTTTTAAAATTTATTTTAAACAATATAATTCTCAATAGCTTTCCCAAAAATAAAACATGGAAAAGAACCCAAAATATATATATATTAAGTAATTTTGATAATTACCATGAGCTTCATATTACTAGTGAAATGTTGAATTCTTATTGACCTAAATTTTATTTAATTTTGCAGTAACTAAAACTATAAAGTTTTGGAATTAAAGTATGGAAGAAGAAGAATAAAACTTTTTATTATACTCTTACCTAAAGTAGAAGAAGAGGGTTAAAAAGGAAAATAGTAAGGGCTAAAAACACTTCCCAGCATGTACGCAAATAAAGTAGACAGAGTGGCCCATAAATAGTTAAAAACAAAAATGATAACTTTTGGACCAATGTAAACATCTTATACCAACACATAGAAGTAAAAAACAAAAATCAAAATATCTTTTTGACACTTAAAATTGTATAATATTAATTTATATAAAAATGTAAAATTCTTTTTAAACGCTTTAAGCCGAGCAATGTGGGATCCACCACTAGGCTAATTCCACAGTTTATATTCCACATCGCCCAATGCATTACAAGGGCTAATATTCCACAGTTTATATTCCACATCGGCCAATGCATTACAAGAGCTAATATTCCACAGATAAGACAGGCCCAAGAATAGTATGCAATTATTTATTTTAAATTAAAAAGATTGGAGACGTGCTTACCAGTAAAGCAAAAGTTATTATATTTAACAAAATTTTAATCTAATCTTCTTAGATGATTTATTTTTATATTTGCGATTCAACATAGATTACGCCCCCAACTTGGTCCATAAGAACTTGATATATATATATATATATATAAACTTTCTAAATATTCTATTTATTTATATATATATTTTTGATTCCTTATATCTATTTCTTATACTTTGATTTCTTTATTTATTATTCCTTAAAAACCCAAAAAAAAGAGTTGGCTACTGTTGTAAGTCAAAAGTTAAAAGATTGGTTTCCTTTTGTTGTCATCACAATGAGTGGTTAAATCTTAAGTAGGCTCCACCAAATTTAGAATTGAGCTTTCACTGAACTAAGTGATGATGGTAATATAGATGAGGCCATTGGTCACAAATAAAGTGGAGCTGTAGGCAATTACATCACTTGGCTACTGCTTCAGCTGGCATCAATTATTGTATCATTAATTTCCACAGAGTGACTGATTTTCCCCCACAAAAACCACAAAAATAATCTATATTCAATTGACGAAGACTTAGATAACCATTAATGAAAGTACTAATAAAAGATCACCCTAGCCTTCTGGAGTTAATTAACCAACTCTTTTCAAAGATATTGTTTCTGAAGAATAAATGGGTGATCCACAAATAGTTGTTGATCGTTTAACACCAAACGGGACTTCAACTCCTGAACAGAGACAGATGCAGCCTTCCCTTCATCTCCTTTCTAGTGAGCTCACTCTCTTTCGTCACTTGTTCTTTTGCATATTCTTTCAGGGATAACAGTATTCGTCCTTGAGCTTTTCTGAAAGTAGCACATGAGTCCATTAAAATGATAAATATTTCTCTTCTCTTTCTACAAAGAATGTTTTATTTAAACCCAAGCAAAAATCTCCACTTTTTTAAGTATGCATGCATGTTTATATGTCAAATACTTTATAAATTGTTTTCGTCTATTGAATTTGCACATGCAGGAGAAAATTCAAACCTTTATCTCAACAATTGTGTGCCTTTTTATAAGGCTGCATTAAAAGGTGACTGGACAAGTGCCAAAAAATTGTTACAAATCGATCCAACGATGTTGTGTGCCAGTATCACAAAGGGACACCAAACTGCTCTTCATATTGCGGCAGGAACCAAACAAACTGGCTTTGTAGAGGAGCTGATAAAGTTGATGCAACCGAAAGACTTGACTATGCCGGACCAAAAAGGAAACACGGCCTTCTGTTGCGCCGCTGCAGCCGGAGCTACCGAAATTGCTAGGATTATGTTGAAGAAGAATCCCGGTCTTTTGACAATCCGAGGTGGTGAAAATAAGATGCCTGTGTTTATGGCTGCTCTGTTAGCACAAGGAGAGATGGCATCTTTTTTATACGATGAATTATCTCAAGCAAAATGTGTTTTCGAATGGGAGGACGAAATTGATATATTTTTCACTTGTCTCACCAATGGTTTATATGGTAAGGACTATATATTCCAATTCAGTAAATTTTTTAAAATACACACACACACACACACACACATGTGTGTGTGGTGTGTGTGTGTGTGTGTGTGTGTTTTAAGTGCACATATTAAAGACAACACTTAAAAAAATAGTAATATATATATTTATGTCTAATGTGTGTTTTAAGTTCACAACAATGTGGTAGTCATCCAAAAACTATCTATATTTCATTTCATGTAATGTCACTTATTTTCCCCATTAGTGCAACATGATAATACATCATTACTCTTATTATATAGTAAAGAAAATTTAGAAAAACTTAAAGAAGCTAGCAATTATAACATGCTTTGAAATTTTTTGCTTACAATTAATTTATTGAATTGGTCAGATCTTGCATTGAAAATGCTAAAGGATCATCCAAAGTTAGCTGGGGTTCGTGCTGGAAATTGTGAGACGGGCGAGACGGCCTTACATGTTTTGGCCCGAAAACCTTCAAATTTCTCAGCAAAAATCAAGGTCTATTCAAGAGGCTTATCAACTAATGTTAATTTCCAACACTTAAATTGTAGGGTATCTATGATTTTAGTCAAAATTAAATAATCTATGCATGCTCTGATTTTAGTGTCCGGATTAATGAAGCGAACACAACAGGATTTCGAATCAACTCAAGCTCTTCAATTAGTCAAATGCCTATGGGAAGAAATGTTAAACAAGATTACTCAGAGCTAGCGAAACTTACACAAACCCCTTCAAAAAACATTTTGAAGCAGCAAAATTGGGAAATTCCCAATTTTTGGCTGAGTCATTTGCCGTTATCCTGTGTGGTATATCAATTTGATGAAAATGATTATAGTATATTTCACATTGCAATTTTACATCGTATGCCGATGTATTCAATCTGATATATGAGATAGGTTTTACTATGGATTTGTTCATGACTTGCGAAGTGAGGATCAACAAAACAATATATACATTTGGCTGCAAAACTACCAGATCCAAGTCGAATTGGTATCGTATCAGGTGCAGCTCTACAAATGCAGCGGGAATATTTGTGGGTTAAGGTAATTCAATTTTCTAAAGTCAATATGTGATAATTTCAATGCCTATTTGAAAATAAACATGTTGATATCTATAGGAGATAGAAAAATAGTGCAACCTTCCTTCCGAGAAAAGAAAAACTCAAATGGCCAAACACCTCAAGAGTATTCACTGAGACGCAAAAGAATTATTGAAAAGTGGAGAGCAATGGATGAAGAACACGCTAACTCTGATATGCTTGTTGCAACAATCATTACCACTATAATTTTTGCAGCGGTTTTTAGTGTACCGGGTGGTAATGATAGTAGTAAAGGATTACCCATTCATCTGAAAGAGATTGGTTTCAAGTTTTGTTATTCAGATGCAATCGCATTGTCCTCCTTCTACGTCAATTTTGATGTTTTGTCGATTCTTCACGCGATATACAGAAGAGGATTTTCTCGAGTCATACCATTTAAATTGATGGTTGGACTTCTACACTCTTATATCCATAATCACCATGATGGTGGCTTTTAGCACAACCCTTATTAGCTTATCATGAGAGATTAAATTGGGTCACCATGCTTACTACTGTAGTTGCTTCTGTACCAGCCACTCTATTTGTTAGTTGCAGTATCCTCTTCTAAGAGATATATTTTGCTCAACATACCATTCTAGGTTTTTGGTTAAGCCAAGTAAACTCATGTTCTAATTTGCTTGAAATTGAAAGTTTATGTATTCTATCGAAACTTATTATATTAATTAAGTTTTTTGATTTAATTATGCAGTAACTTTTTTCCTTCAAGTAATTGTGTTGCAGGCAGTGGTGGTGAAATATAATTGAGAGGGTCATTTTCAATTTTTCAAATTAAATAGCCAAGAAGACTATAATATGATTATAAAACATGATGATTAAAATAAATCTAGCCCATTTAAATGAAGCACAAGTAAGAATCCATAAACGGCCCTGAGGGGAGCTAAGAATAGGCCATAATAAAGTAAATGGGCCAGTGAAAAATATAAAGGAACCGATTTGTAGGCCGATCTTCAATTTTAAGTAGGGATATAATTGTAATAAAAAAGTTTGTTATTTCTCTCTTCTATACTTCCAAGTTTATATTTGTAATTTTAAAAATTTTAAGTAAATTAAAACCAATCCGAATTAACAAATACATAAATTTCCTCAATGGAATTGTGTGTAATCAAATAACCAATAAACTATACTTCAACTTTTAATTTGCAAATATAAAGTTTTGAAGTGAAAATATAGAAGAATATAATTTTTTTTATAAATTTCATCGAAGATATATTTTTTTTAAGAAAGTCGATAAAATAGTCTACAAAGTTCTTAATGGTTTTAGAGTAATGACAACACTAAATCTTAACTATGACTGATTTGTAATGAATTTTATATGATGTTGTATTTTTGAGTTCCTATTACCTTAAGTAAACCCTTTCGTAATTATTGTCCTTGGACCAAAATTAAAGAGCTCAACGAGCCCAAATAAGAGGCAAATAGGAGGCCGAACAGGCCAGGCCAAAAAACATAAAAACAGTGACCATAAGAGAATATAAGATGGTCCAAAAGGGTATTGTCAATGGGCCCTGACATGAAACTTAGATTTTATTTTCATTTTTAATTTTTTTTATACAGTGAAGTAAAGTTCAAAATTCCCCTTGTTTTAAATGAAATAGAGACAACAACATGAACAAAATATATATTAAAACAAAAAAACAGTAAACAAGAAAAATAATACGCAAGATTTACCCTGGTTCACCCAATGTGGGCTACGTCTAGCTGAGTCATATTATTGCATATGTCTCACTCTCTCGTACAATGAATGAATGATCTCACATACATAACAAGAGAAAAGTATGTTTTATATATGTAAGAGAAAACCTAGTTTTACAAGAATCTTTTCCTAAGCCCAACCCAAAAAGGAATAGTAACTTAAAAGAAATTATACAGCGGTTATACATGGAAAAGCCAAAACCGCCTACGGGCTCAAAGGCGCTACCCCGCAACCCCCGCCGCTGAGCAGGCAACGAGACCCCCGAGTGATCTCTGTTACTATTAATATTGAAGTAGTCGACAACTCCAACAGTTTATATCCTTTTAAAAATCTTAATTTGATTGATAAAACTCTATCTCCTTTCTATAACAATATTTATTCAAAGAGATGAATAAAACATCCAACTGGCAGAGAAGGGTAAAGATGAATGAATTTTAATTTTTCGAAACAAGAGCTCCATAGACAAATCTTTACCCTCGCCGCCTTCATCAAACAATTCAATAAATCAAATCCAGACATAAACGATTTTTTCTCCTTTTGTATGAAAATGAAGCTCTAAGGAACGAAATTATCTAAGGAAAAACTTAATTAATATATATAGGTTCCGATGATAAATATAATTGGTTTTCAATTCAAAATAGAGATTTACTTTGGCTTAAACAAATACTTAGAATGGTATGCTAAAAAAGAGTCTCTCGGAACAGAATTTTTTATAAAACCAAAATATAATATACCAAGTATTAAACAAATACATGGTGATTCTTAAAAATTACAAAGTTGCCTAAATATTTTAAAATTAAAGGTGTAAATTTAGCTACCCGAACACCCTTGGCTACAAAAAAATAAATAATAAATAAATAAAAAGGTTTTATTGTATTGTATCATTAGAACTTATTATATTATTAAGTTTTCGTTTATTATACAGTGACTTTTTTCCTTGAAGTAATTATTATTGCAAGCAGTGATGGTGAAATTGTAATTGAGAGGTTCATTTTGAATTTTACATGTCGGGAGTAAAAATCAATCTACGCCCCAATTAATGAAGCACAAGTAAACGGGCCTGGGGAAGATAAGAAACAGTCCATAGTAAAGTAAATGGGCGAGCAATGAAATGTGGGACACCGAAAAGTGTAATGTTATTTAGGTCCAGTAAAATTCTATATGAGTTGAGCATTATCATTGATTTCGGGGTAGCGTAATTGTGGCCATTGAGTAAGTGAGTTTGGGTAGGTCTGCTATGTGTCACGACTAGGAGTTTCACACTAAAAAAGCTAACCTAATAGATAGAGGAACTCCTCCCATATAAACCAAAACCCCTGTTTCTCTTCCGATGTGGGACAATGACATTCTCCCACACCAATCCTGTGACACTTTCGTCACAAAGTGGGGGCTTCTGTCTACTCGTCTCTCTCACTCTTTAGTGGACCCACAATCACGCATGGACGCTCTTCTATATGAGAGCTTATGGGACACAGAAGATGGATCAAGATCGGCTCTAATACCACTTGTCATAGGTTGAGAGTTTTACACCCAAAAGGTAAACTAATAGTTGGAGGAACTCCCCCCTTATAAACCAAGACCCTTCATTTCCTTTCCGATGTGGGATATGTGACATACGGCCGATTCCACAGTTGATTATGGTTATCTTCTCTGCGAAGGTAAAAGACCTAAAAGAAGCGCTAATGAAGATAAAGATTAGAATAACTCTAGAGACAAATATTGGAAGAGATGAATAATCTCAAAAGGTTAAAATGACAATGTAGTCCTCTAAGTATGAGGGTTACTGGGTGGAGTTTGTCTTGGAGAGGAAAAAGACAAAGACTAATGGGCCTGTTTGGTAGATTATTGAAAACGTTATTTTGAAAAAGTATTTTAAGTGAGTTAAGTTGAATTAAATCGAATTGGTCAGATTCTAAAAATAGTTTTGTAAAATATTTAAAAGATTTAGAATTTGATAAAATGCTAAATAGTTATTTGGACATTTTCTGAAAATATTTAGATTATTTTTTAACACCCCTACATTACTATTTAGTTAAACACCCACAATAAAAGTTTAAAAATAAGTAAAACACCTAGTCACCCAACGCGCCACCACTCAGACGGCAGCCAACAGTTGCTAGATAACACAAAATAGCAAGATCTGGTTGATTGCATCGATATGGCCATTTTCAGCCAGATCTATGATCAGAATTAGCCGTTAACGATCAGATTTTAGTCATTGATAGCTAGATTCTAGTCGTTGACAGCTAGATTCTGGCCAACGGCCAGTTTGGCCAGAATCTGGCCATCAATGGCCAAATCGGCACACGACAGCCAAATCCAATCGATGTGCATTGTTTTGACCACATCACCTGACAATAGTTGTCAAAACAGCGACAATGGTGACGGGTTGTTGGCAAGCGGTCGGTGGTGGTCTTGGATGATTAATTTTCTGATGAAATGAGAAAAATGAGAAGAGAGAAAGAAAATGTTTTGAATAAAGTTGGATAACCTGAAAACAAGCCCCCTCTTTTCATTTTAGACAAAAAAAATCTTATTTAAGTTTGATTAATTTTTAGTATGGATTTGTCCAATAAATAAATAAACATATACCTATTTTTTAATTCAAATAGGTAACAAAATAATGATCCAGAATAATGAAACAAGCAAGGCAATGATTTTGGGAACAAATTGGCATTATGAAGAAAGCTAAATAACTCATTTTACTTGTTGCCTCTAATCTCCTTTTAATTTCTAAAAACGCCACGTTATGTAAGAATATTAATCACCAAAATGAACCATATTAATTCACA